TGACACATCTCTGGTACCAGGATGCACCAGAAACAATATAACAAATAACAGCAACAGAAAGACACTTTGCATTTCTCTGCAACAGCCAGTGTGCTCGGTGTAGCTCCAGCTGCAGTCCCTCAAATCAAAGCTTGGACTGCAACTGCCAGTCCTCTGCTGTCCCTTCCTATCACAAAGTTAACTTCCTAAAATAAGAAGGAGCTTCCAACTCTGGCACTGATGGAAATACTGAATACTTTTAATATATATATATATTTGGAAAGTATTTGAAAAAAAGCATTTTGTCTTTTTTTATACAACTTTTAGCCAAATAGAAGTATTCTGATTATTACTTCTGTGGATACCTGTCCACATGTAAATAAACTCACATATTCAGATACATGAACCTGAAGAAAAAAGATAAAGACTGTTCAGTGGCTATGCGCTTTGCTAGCTGTTGGTTCCTTTGTACATAAGAGATAACTGTTTAAATGTTGGGTGGGTTGTTTTTTTTATTTAATTCTTGTTCCTCTAAAGAAAGAAGAAAACCTTTTGACTTTGTTTTCTCTTTTCTGAGTTAATACAAAGATTTTCTAACTTTTTACTGCAGAAATGGATAAATACCTGGTGCTATGTGAATTTGAGTCAAACTGGCCATAGCAGACACACCAGTTAGAATGCACTTTTCCTGTGGCACACATTGTATTTTCTCAGAAGGGACTTTCAAAGTACCATGACGTGTTTACATTTCTTCTTGTTACCCCAGATAGTTTTGGTTATTGAAATAACTAACTCCCCAAAATAAAGTCATGATCCATTACTGATGCGCTGAATCCTTACATTTAGGTATCTATGACAGGTTTGTACAAATACCATTTTAGAGATGATAGTTGAAATACTGGGCTTTCATACTTTGTAATGCTTTGATGTGACAATAAATATGCTGTTGCTATCTAGCCTAACCTCATTGTAGACCTGTAACTTCCTGTTTATGGTTATGTCATAATTTGCACTGGCTTGAATTCAGCCAAATACTGACTGTTCAGCTGAAATACTCCGACTGTTATGATGTCCACAAAACATTAATTAAATACACTTGTTTCCGACTACTGCAGAGTATGTCAAATTATTCCTGTAATAAAACCCTTGTGTATAGCTTTTCTTACTTGTTTATGTGAACTTTAGTTCTTCTATAACCACAAATGCCAGTGCATCAACCAAGGACCAGCTCCAGTCAGTGTTAGCCTTTGCATCGACTTCATTACAGACAACACGGAGCTCTTTTCCTAAGGCACAGACACCATAGCATGAGCTGAGACACACAAGGCAGGAACTTGGCCCTTATTTTAAGTTTTGGCCCTGTGAATGTGAAGTGCAGCCTTTAGCTACTGACTGTGGTTTCCCACTCCCAGGTTCATGCTATAGAACTACATCTTCTGATGCATCAAGCTAACAACACTTTTCCTGTCCTGCTCCTGCCTGGCAGTGGAGGAACAGCTGCCTTCCTGTGCACAACAAGGAACACTCCTGATAAGCAAAGCTTCATTTGAACTGCATATACCTTTCTCATGGTATGGGTAGCTAATAAAGCTACTGCTTTAAACTTGCAAGTGGGAGAGACATTCCTGAAAGATGGAGTAGTTTCTTAAAAAAAAAGAATAAAAAGTATAAACTACTACCATTTCTATCCAAGTTCTCAACTCTCTAGCTTTGTTAGGTCATATTTAGAGTTTCTTTTGGTTAATGTGTTCCTACCCACTGCTGCAAAACCAACTCCAATATAAATAGCAAGGCTATTAAATTTAATGAGTGGTTTAATCACTCTTCTGTTTGCATTTTCCTCCCTTCAGGCAACACCTCCTCACCACACACATGCATACTCTGTCTCCTTCTCTGGTAAGGAAGATCTCTAAACTAATCTGTTCTCTAAACCAGAGGCAAAACAGCTCAGGCAAAGACCCTGCCCTCCTGCCCACAACATGTATTGTCACCAACAGCCAGGCTTGTCCAAACAGCCCCTTCCTGAACATGCATTGGATGCAGCAGACCCCAGGTGCTGCTGGAGTGGGCAACGCTCCTCGTAGCTTCTCTTAGAGGAGTTTGTTGTCTTCATAGCTCCACTCCTGCTAGGCAGGTTCCCAGAGCTGTCTGGCTTCATAGAATGATAGAGTACAAGGTTAAAAGGGACCTCAAGAATCATCTGGTGAAACCATTCTAGGCAAAGCATGGCCTAGACTAGATGTCCCAGCTCCCTACCCAGCGAGTCTTAAAAGTGTCCGGTGCTGGGGAACCCACCACTTCCCTGGGCAGATTATTCCAATGGCTGATGACCTGCATCATTAGATTAGGTAATCTTATGGCCAGTTCCTCCAGATCTAAAAAGGAAGCAATCCAAACTCATATAATTAGCAGGGAAGTGTTTTGTGGTATTTCGGATTAAATTCCACTACTGAAATGCCACTTCCAGAGACAGTAATCTCTGTTGTAGTTGATCTTTCTGAAGACAAGCAGACAGGCCATTAAAGTTCCCTTCATGCAAACATGTTTTCTACTTTTGTACATTCCAGAAAAGAGACTTCATTTTACCTCAACATTCAACCCCTACACTCCACTCTCCAGGCTTTGTCTTCCTGAGCCAGTTCTAAACAGTTTTAAGAGTGACCACCTTAGACACATTTGGTTTAGAAACATTTGTCACCTTCACATCCTTCCATCAGAAAATGTTGGGACAGAGTGATTCCCTCCCTGCCTGCATCAGTAACTTCCTCTACCTCATTTCTTTTATCTAAAAAATTCACTAAATTCAAATTTGGGTTTCAAATACCCTTAGCTGCAAGAAAACACATTTTGTTGAAATGTCTTGTGCATTTTTTACTTCAGATGCTGCCATTGTCTTGGTTTATGCCACCACCTTCGAAAGCTGCTCTCCAAGTGTGGGGTTAAAAAATCATTTTGTTACAATCTTACTTCTTCTGTTAGGTCTTAGTGGAAACCTGGGACACCAAAAGCAACTTTTTAGTAATGAAAATACCCTTTAGAGAACAACAGCATTATATTGGTGCCTTGAATTGAACACATTATTTTCTAGTTTATTTGCTTAAACTGCCAATTTTTTTCTCTCCCACCCACTCTTTATTGTGCCAAGACAAATATTTAGGTTATAAAAATTGCCATGCTGGTTTGAAGACTGTGCTACAGTTCTCTTTTTGGCTAACAAAATACAAAGCAAACATTTTGCTAAGATTTGTGTTCTAATTTTAGCTTTGGAGAAGAGAGAGAAAGAACTTGTACCTTCCTGAATTATATTTTCCTGCTTTACGCACAGATGATACCACCACAAACAGATGCAGGGTTTATTTCTCTACAATTTCGTGGGAAGGAGCAGAGTTTTCAAACACTGTTGTTTCAATGCAAGTGTCATGATTGAAGCCCAGAAAGGCAAATGACAAGCAAATTTCTCCTTACTCCTTTTCTCATCTTTGTGGTCTTCGTGGTCACCTTAGCACAGCAGCTTGCTCTGAAACAAGATTTCATTGCCTTGGGGGACATGGTCCAGTGTGAGGTGTCCCTGCCCATGGCATGGGGGTTGGAAGTAGATGATCTTAAGGTCCTTTCCAAGCCAAACCTATGGTTCTATGATTCTTACAATTTTTTGCCAACTTGTAAAAACAAAACAAAACTTATGGATGGGGAGAAAGGGATGCACTGTTACCAAGGACGGGCTTAAACAAGGAAGCTTGTTTTTACCCAGCCTTATGGCATAGCTCCAAGTGTCTTAACCTGGCTCTACAGATCACAGGTTGTCATGGCTTAAGCCCACCAAACAGTAACTTCAGTATTTTTCAGTAATACGTGAACATTTCCTTTTGGCTAGAAGCAGCTGACTTACCCCCCCTGCCCAGACTGTTAGCTTTGCAGGCTTTTTAGCTTTCCTTCATAATACTACAAGCAGCATTTTCCATATATATATAAAATATATATAATACAGGTATAATAATGTGTCTGTGTACGTGCTTTCGAGACTGTTTTCACACAGTTGATTTTCAAAATAAGAACATGCAGCAAAAGGGAAAATAACTAGAAAATCATCCTTTTTAGGAGACAAGATAAAAAATGGGTGCAAAATAAAACTGCATTACTTATAAGTGTTACTGAAAGGAACTCGGTGCCCAACAGTTTCACTGAAACAAGAACTGCACGTTCTCGGGATCTGAAAAAAAAATTCAGACCAGTCAGTCGCTGGAGGCGCAAACTTATCCAGTGCTGACCTCTTGTGGTACGCAATGAATCTGCAGTGGCTAAAAATCGGTAGCAAAAGTCAACAGCAGGACGAGGTAGGAGAAATACCTATAAACTGGTATACCCATCAGACCCAGGCTGGGAACCCGGAGAACACAAAACAGCTCACCCCAAAGAGCGCCCCCCCACACACACACTCCCTTCAAATCTGACCTGAAGGTCAGGATTAACCATTTTCTTACAGCACTCTGAAGGCCAGCTGCCTGCAGGAGGCACCCTTTTGTACTGTTGCGCTTACACCGTCCCACTAGACCTGGTCATCACTGTCCAGCCGATATGGGGCAGCCCCCCTACCCTGAGAGCAGCAAGGCTTTCACTAACATTCATGTACAAGCATTTAATATAAAGGACACTTGGAGTCTTACCTCAGAAGAGAGAACAATTTCATTCCTGCAGCTTTGCCCTTTTAGCGTCATGGGAAAAAGCACTATTCACAAAGCAGGCCTTCCTCGTGCACCCTCAGAAATGGAAGCACAGTGAGGATGCCTTCATCTTCCCACACAGCTGGAACTGCTACTCAAACACAAACACCGGCATCCTTCTAGCTGAAGCTCCTGGGCTTTGAAGTCCCACCCCCTCAGAGTGAGCTGAGAGCAGCCACCCCCAGAAATCACCACCAGACATGCTTTTCAGTCCTTTTTAGGCCGTCAACACACCTTCTAGCCATCTTAGAGCAGAAACTGCCTCTATTTTTTCCCTTTTATATTCCTTGGAGTTTTCTTGCTTTCATGTATACTAGTATCACCACCGTTACTTCCCATCGTGCCTGAGGTATGAAGTAAGTAAAGTGGTGACTCACATAAGCAAGTGTAGCCTGAGCTTTTAGCTAGGATTGGCCAGGCCCTCTGAAGTGCTGTAGTGCAGGGGTTTCTGTTAGGGGACTCACATAATGTCCTCTTTAGAAAGGGCTGTTTCCTTCCTTCTGGTCACAGACCTCTTGACCTGTGAAACCAAACAGGATACAGAGTAAGGGAAGGAAGGAAGGAAATTTTTTTTTACTTCTGCAGCTTTGGTAAAAATAAGGAATTTCCAAAACTATCTACAAAATTCCACTCCCAGACTGCTGCTTCCTTGCGTTCTCTTTCCTTTAAAGGTTTACATTTCATCCCAGAAATGCTCAGTCCTGGCATTTTAGGCTGAACTTACACCACGTGGCTCACTATGGGGGTGGTTCTCAGAGCTCCTCCCTCTGCCAGCTCTGCTGCTTCCCAGAGTCGGCAGCTAAATGAGAAGTACAGTTTCTCATTGAAGATGTTTCATATTTAGAATTGGCACTTGATAAAGATGCATTCTGCACTGCTCCAAGACATGTGGAGGGAGGCAGACACAATACAGTGTCAGGACAGGGGAACTAGAAAGCTGTCAGAGGAAAGCAAGATGAAAGTGGAAGGGAAATTAGGTAAGTGGGTGATAAAATAGTTCTGTTATATAGACAGAAATGCAGAAGGATCAAAGGATCTTTGTATTTGCATTTTATCCTCATTTCTATTCCTTGCAGCTTCCTTCCCCTGCTGTATATTATTATCACCTCTATTATAAAACTTTCTGGTTGCTTGCAATTATCCCCCCTTTAATCTCATGCTAGGCTCTTCCCCTTTGATCCAGTGCAGTACATGCCCCCTTGCCATATGACTGATTGTGTGACTGCTGCATATATATGTAAAACCATACTTTTTTTCAACCTGATTTCGCCATTGCGTCCCCAGTATAGTCTAGGCAAAGTTGCGTGTCCTTCACAAAAACTTTTCTGCTTACCTCAGTTAGGGTAGCTTCAGCTCCCAATAAAAATATTGCAAATGGAAAGCTCCTAGCATCTTTGTTTTATTTTTGCACTTAAATTACAGTTATAATTGTATACAATAAAAGAACAACTACAGAAAGGGACACCTAATTATGCCCTTCACTGAGAGGCTAAACTGAGTTCAGCTGGAAGAGACAAACCTATTACTGGCAGACCGTTGATTCTTTCTCTTCTATTTATTGAAAATAAAACCCCAAAACACAAAACAAGCACCATCTCCTGCTTTTCCCTCCCTCCTACCAGCCTGCCCTGAGACCACAGCTTGCCCTGTCCCATGTCCCTGCAAACTCGTTTGACACCAGGACTGGCAGGGATGAAGAAGGCTGGGAGCTGACGTCCCAGAGAAGAGCTCAGAGATGACAAGGAACAGGGCAGAGTCTGTCAGAAAGTCCATAGGGAAGGCACTCCTTCTCCAAAGGAAAAGTCAGTGCTTCCTTCTTTGGTGGGAAACAGGAGGCAAAGAAGAGCTGCCCAGCAGCCTGGCCCTATCCATCCCTCTGCGGAGGGCAGCTCCCTGCTCAGGGGCAACCATTCTCACACAGGGCTGACACCAGGCGAGATCAGGTAAAGTCCTATTCTGTTTCCTCTCCTCACTGGTTTTAGGGCTGTCACACTTTTTTAGCTACACTGCACCCTTTTGAGTGTATGAAACACACTGACCTGGGCTGGCCAGAAAGTCTCATCTTCATTCTTCTTCAAAGGGAACACTGAAGGAACAATGTTTGGATGGTGTGAGGTAGTTAAGTGTATTTGTGAATGCTATAAGGAGTGTCAAAAAAATACCAAACACCACATAATATTTAAGCAGTTTGTAGTGTGGATATTGTTAATTAAACCTTATGCTTTTATAAGGAACACAGAAACATAGAACATAATGGAAAATTTATTCCTTACATTGCTCACACAGGCTGAATTCCCACCAAACAGCTACAATAAGCACCCTGATAGCTCAGCAAAAAAAGAACCATTGAAAGGAGCCATAGAAAGGAGGAAGGAGAGCACCTGAGTTGTAACTTCTATCCTGGCCTACACAAATCTTTCACAAAGCAATATATCTTCCAGAAAAATCAAGCTTTTATTCTCCTTGGCTGTAAAGAGGATCTGGTCTTCATGTCCTCCAGAGTATCAGTTCCCCCTCCGATTCATTTTCTGTAATTCCTTGACTTCCACATCCACAGTTACAACCTTGTATCTATCATCACCACCACCATGCTGTCTTCCCTACCACCTACCTTGTGAAGATGAGAGCTAGCTGAGATTTTTAAAGAGCAACAAGTGCTTTCATTTTGTTTTCCCTCACGTGAGTTTAGTACTAATAAGAGCTGAACAAAGGATCTACAGAGATGAGAATGGCAAAATGTATTTAGATGTTTTTGCCTTAAGCTCTTGCACATGCAGCATTATCTCTCTGAATTAAATGGGAGCATGGCTGTTTCTTATGCTGCTCTGCATTCAAATAAATTCACTAGTAATAAAGCAAGATGCAGCACTTCATTTTCTAGTATTCTCAGATCACAACATGACCTTGATCGTCTTTCCACTGCCACCTTCACAGGCAGGACTGCAGAAACACAAAGGATTTCCACATGTTATTGAGTTAAAAAAGGTCCTCAAGATCTTGCTACTCACATCCTTCACATGCTGTACTCTACTCAGATGATGCAGTACTGCCTTCTATTTCTCCTTTTAAAATCTCAAAAAACGGTGAGTTTATTCATGCCTCATGCCCTGGTGATTAATTACATTCCCCTGCCCGAAAAAATACTTTGCTTGATAGATCAGGAGCAAGAAACTGGATCTCACTAGCGGAACTGAAAAGCCCCATGCCAAAACACCTTTTGCAGCTGTGAGCATCAACACCCACTCATCACGTTGCCTTTTTCAACCTCCTCTTCAGTAAGGTGCATTAGTCAGGCTCCTGAAGTAAGCACCTTCAGGGCATATTTTCCATTCTTGTGGTCCTCCTTTGAACTCAAGCCAGGCTGTGCCTTCCCAGAACATGAACAACCATGGCAATAAATACATCTGATAAGAGTTCACAGAACATTACCATCAACAAGCCAACAAACAGCTACTAAGTGTTGGAGAGTATTACATGCAGGGGACTGTGGAGGCCCTTTAAGACTTCCAAAGGGCAGCTGCCCCCTTAGGGGGTGTGGATGGGCACAGCTGACATGAATTGACTCATAGGGCTGAATGATCAGCTCAGAGACTTCAAAGATCGTTTGCCTTAGTAATTCAAGTTTCTTATGATGGCTTTGATGAAAGAAAATAAGCAAATACTGGAGTCCCTTGGATTAGTTTTGCTGGGTTACAGTGTTCTGATTTCCTAGGCTTTAGGAGACAAATAATGTAAGTATTGCTGCTGATTTAATCGTGGTAGCAGTTCTTTTAGTAGGCTGGTAAGAGGTGCGATGCGTGATCTACCTGGTAGCTCACAACACACAATTCTGGGGCTGGAGTTAGAATATGTAGATCACTGATGAAATATGTGTATAAATGTACTCTTTGTCTGGTGTGGTGATACATCTGACATTGACAGAGAGGAGATAGGGGTAACTTCTGATGTTGCTTCCATGAGAGGTGTGCTCTGGGTTCTCCATTCAGCCTTCCCTGTCTTAGCAGTGCAAAGCAGAAGGGTTCTCACAGGCTGTTGTGGCAGCTCAGATTCTCTGGGGTGTCAGAACTCTATAGGTAGTCTTCTGCTGTCGGAAGCCCAGAGCTGCGGTGTGCAATGAAATCCTTTAGTGGCCTCTCTGCTAGGCTAAGCTGGAGTCCAACTCTTTGAGTGAGGTGTCCCCCATTATAAGGGGAGAGAAATTAATCACTAGATACTGAGGTCTGTCTCAGATTTTGATGTTTTTTCTTCTGATCTTAAGGTGTGATATTGAGTCTGTGTGATGCATGTTTCATCTGGAATCAGGTTTCAGTAGCATACGTAACGGTTTTTCTTTTTTCATAGCCTAAATGCTCGAGGCTACATTCAGTCTGTTCAGATGCTGTTTTCTGTCAGAGGCCCACAGCCTGTGTTTCATCCAGAATGACTACAGAACATTTCAGGTACACAAAGGCTGTTCACCATCTTCTTGCTGAACTGTATCTCAACCACCCAGCAAACCACATGGCAAGATCTGGTGGGAAGTGAACTGTGCCCTGTGCCTCGTTTAATCTGCAAAGGGGATAGACACAAGCAGGATGTAATTATCCCAAGTGGAAGCTGGCCAGAGCATAGGGCCGTAACCCCTTCCTGTTACTCCATGTTAATTCCAAGGGAAGGGGAGAGTGTGCTGGCAACTGCAGTTCCTCAGTTCAGAAAAGAGACTGCAGTGCGTATTGTTCACCTGCTGACTTCAAACAGAAGAGCACAGATACAAAGGCTACAGGGGAGAAGGGTGCACATGGACTTCAAAGGAAACACTTGGTTGCCATAGCTCTTCATCCAGACAGACTGGAAGAGTTTCTGAATTCTCATTGCAGGGGTCATAACTGCAGGTGTCACCAGGAAATTTGGTGCAGCAGCCTTAAAGCATACACAAAGACAGTAAATTAGAAAAGCAGTACCTCCAACTGAGGTACAATCCACAGTAAGGCTGTCTAAACAGGAACTGATATTCCTAATGACTTGCGACGGAAGATGAAAGTACTGAGTTTATATTGTTAAAGCTGCACCAAGGACTTCTGCTTCAATTCATGGTAATGCTTCCTTGCCGTCAAATTAAACTGGCTTCTTGGAACTGCTCAATGGTGTTCCCCAACCTCAGCCTTTCTTCTGAGGCTTCAGCTTTATTCTGAGCTGAGGCAGAGCTTGTGGCTGTGCTGATTTCCTTCTTTCACAAGAGAACTGGTCTTCTGTTGTGCTGCAGACAGCAAGAAGTTGGTTACTGGAGGGGAAGATCAACATTAGGGAGGAATCAAGTTGGAAGAGACATTTCTATCTAGGAAAATAATATTAGCGATTAATCCAGTTGATTATAGTCATGTTCAGTAAACATTTGATCACTTTCTTTCCTGACCAGAACTTTGAAGAGTTGAGTCTTGGTGCTCTTAGTCTGTATTGAGGTCTGTAAATAAGAGGATGATTGTTAAATATATTGCTTTATAGTTTTTTTTTTAAACTTGATCTAAAACACTTTTTTAGGAAAATGCAGCTATCAACAAGTTAATAATTTTTTTCCTAGAAAAACAAAGTATTTGATCAGTGACTTGTACAGGATTTGGGTTAGGTGTCCAAGGTACCTATCTTGTTTGTTGTTATTACTCTGAAAACACTTCTATTCCATTATTTGTGCCATCCATGTGAGTATAATTCACAGCTTTGTGCAATTCTCTGTTTGCTTTAGGGAGGCAAAATAGGAGGCACCCTTCTGTTGATCCTACTTTTTGAAAGGCTGATGATTGTTGTCCTGCTGTAAAGATGAACTTCTGAGCCCTTCTAAGTGCACTTCATTACACCTTGATAGCTGGATCCTACTTTTGGTACAAGCTGAGGTAGAAAATTGAAAATGGGGGAGTAGGGACAGCAGCCACTGGAAAAGAGTAGACAAAAGACAAGACAGTCTGTGCTCATCACAGAGCTGTGCTTACACTGAGTGGAGACATTTTTATCTCAAGCTGGCAATGATTTCTGCTTCTTTGATCTACCAATGTACAGTTGAGGGAACTGTAACAAGAGAGGCTTCAAAACTGGAGGAATATTAATGTGGTATTTTCTAAAGTACCTTAAAGTTACCTGACAGATGTGATCAGACAGTCTGTAGCATGGAAGGGAAAAGGGCTAGAAAGTAGTGGACAGCTAATGAGCACTTTGTGTGGGGAAAAAAGGGAGGGAGAAGAGGAACTTCCCAAGGAGGGGGGCAGAAAGGAGGGAAAGCCAGTGAAATGTTTGGCTTAGTTGGCAACAAATGAGTGGGGTGGAGGCCAAGACTTTTTAAAGGTCTGGCTTATCAATGTGTAAAGCACTGCCACAAAGCACAGCACCATAATAAACACAAAAGTGTTTTGCCAAAAGTATCTTAAAATTTTTTAAAAGAAATTTTTAAGCCTTTCTGTATTCCCTTAGCCATTACCTATTATCTACATTGTTGTGCACTGCAGTTCATCCCTTTACCATGTTCATGTCTTCTCTTCTTGCTTCTCCCCTTTAAATGTCACAGAAGCCCACAGAAAGAGTCTGACAAGTTTAGCTCACCAGCCTTTTAAAAGTGGGATGGGGGAGGGTACTACTGTCTGAAGTGTGGGCTGTTCCAATGGGGTGGTGGCATGTGCATGTAATGTTAAGGAGTCTTACTTCTGTAAAGGACAGAAGGCATCAACTCAGGCCTGGAAGGCAAGAAGCAAGCGATGAAGGACAAGTTCTATCATTTTGCTTCTTTCAGTTCAGTGCCTAGTACACTAATTTCACCACACACAATACAAGCAGTGGCAAGTACCCCAGGAACTAAGGGAAAAGAGGAACAGGGATGTTTCCCTTTAGAAGTGGTTTTCATTTGAAATTCCAAGGGTGAAGTGCATTTTTAGCTATTTATTGGCTTTACAAATACGCTATATGAAAATCCACTTGAATTTTCTGTAAGATTTTGCTAAATTAGCTCCATCTGCCTGGATTTGAAGTTAGAGTTGTCTTTCTCCTAGAATGGTTTCCCAAAGGCTAGTGAGCCGATCCTGCCCATGGACACACTTTGTCTGACCCTTCAGTTGAGACCTGTCGGGCATGGGAGACCCTACCAGAGGCATGTGCCACCACCAGCATAGCTCCCAACCTCACAAGGGCACATGAGCTCTTTCTGCACAACAAGGGGGTGTCACAGTATCACAGTATGTTAGAGATTGGAAGGGACCTCAAAAGATCATCTAGTCCAATCCCCCTGCCAGAGCAGGAACACCTAGATAAGGTCCAGGAACGTGTCCAGGCGGGTTTTGAATGTCTCCAAACAAGGAGATTCCACAACCTCCCTGGGCAGCCTGTTCCAGTGTTCCGTCACCCTCACTGAGAAGAAGTTTCTTCTCAGGTTTAAGTGGAACCTCTTGTGCCATGAGATTTAAGTTTACATAAAGATTTTTATACTGTTCTCCTATTTAATTAGTGGAATTGTTTGGGGAAATGTAACCTTTTTTTCTGTTCTCCACAGTTTTGGACAAAGACTGAAATAAAAAAGTAAATACAGTTGTGTAGCTGTAGACCTGTGTAGGTCAGAGACTTTCAACACTTACAACCTCAAGTACAGAAAGCCTTACACTTAAGAGTGATGCAAAAGCAGTCACAGCTCATTTCAGAAACACTGTGGACTTCTTCGGGTCAGGCCATGATGCCCCTCCTATAAGGTAGGAAGTAGGATCAATAGGCATTTCAAAAGAGGCTTCTCCTCCTCCATACTGATCAGGAAAATCTAGAACCTTTTAAAGCCAATTTACAAAAGTGGAATGGTTGGAGTTGTTCAAGGATGATACTCTCACTGAAATGGTGCACACCTATAGCTGCTTCATGGGAGCTGGGAGTACACACTGCCATCACTTTGAGTGAAAAAATGATTACTCAGTCACTTCGCTCTTCGTGTCTTCACAGTAAGTTTGTACTTACAATTACTGCATTTAAGCACCCTGGTACCACTAGAGATTGGATGCCTAAATCCCAAAGGCACCTTGGGAAATTTCAAACTCATAAACCAGAGGATTGTATGAATTCAGCATGTTACCTGCAGAAGTCTGGATCAGCACATCCTGATCCCACACACATCTAACTTTCTGCTGGAAATAGCTCCCCTCCTCTATTATATGCATGTGTATAACCTTTTCCTTAACATATGTCTTTCCTATGTTGCAAAAAAAACTGTCTTAAAGTATGTAGCAGGTGAGCTTGTCACCTGATTTTAAAGGCTCATCAACTTCATAACCCACTTGCTCTTCTGCAGACTGCTATTTCAGGGTATAAGGGTATTGCTCTGATGAAGCTCCAAGTCAGCAAGGCACTCCAGTGAGTCTATGTCTTAAACTCCTCAGGTATATTCATACAGTGTAACAGGAGGAGAGAGGAGAAAAATCTGCTTGAGAAGTGAGGACTTACATTTGTTGTTTTGTTTTTAACAAAGGCAGTTTTTAGGTACACGTGGGTTCCCTTGTTCTGTTTCCAAGCTTAGCTGGACTTCCCTTTTTTCAGGTGTGACAACCTATGAGTCAGACAAAATAAAAGTGCTTAGAGTTACGTGCATAGGCAGCCTTCCTGCCTGAACAAACATCAACCAACCCAAAACATGGTCTTAACCCTGTGAAACTGTCACAACTTGCTTTCAGTCTTCACTGACACAAGAACTCAGGATGAAGAACTGCCTGGCCTTTCCCCCATTCCCTACTCAGGCTATTTGGTAAAAGGACAGTACTAGGCAAAGCCTCTACTTTCCTTTGATCTTTTTTCCATTCCCTATTTCTTCCCTTATTATCACAAAGCCATATTCTCTAGCACTGAAGGAACACACTCATTCCTACAAAATTACTGTGGTAAGTGGAAATTTTGTAAGTAACCTAAATAGGTGACCACAGATATTTAGGGAGAACCCTGGGAGTTTGGGGAGGGAGGAGAGGGTAAGATGGAATTTATTTTGTTGTTTTACTGCTGCTGTATCCCTAAGTTTAGTGTTTGGAAAGCTGAAGCAGTGTGCTGAAGGAAATAGGTTCCTTGTGCCTCTCTTCTTCAAACTCATGCTGGTTTCTCACAGACAAATGCTTAGCAGTAATGTCCTAGGCATAAACACACCCAGGTGACACAACACTTACTGCCAGAGGTTACAGACTTATTGTACGAGAAAAAAACACAGATATCATCCTGCTTCTTCCTCCCTTTACATTTCACATCCTACAGGAAACATGCATTTTCCTGATGAAAAGAACGCTACTCAGATATATCTGGTGCAGCTGAAGTCTACATTTTGCTACTTAAATTCACTCTGTAAAGAAACCAGGCAAGCAACTCCATGCACCCTACATGTTCCACCAGCCTGAGACCCTCCTAACAGATTATGCAAAGGACCAGGACCATTATACAGGAAAAGGGTAGGACAGCTAAGCACTGAAGCTGAGATTTGTGGCAGTGCTTCATACTACTTACATGATTATAGAAACCTGAAACATCAACATTGTGATTTTATGGCCCTGAAACCTTATAGGAAGATTTGTGTTGTATCTCAAGCTCTCCTATTGCTTGCCCTAGCTGATTCACCTCACTGCTCCTCAGCCTTCCACTTGAAAATGGAGAATTGCCTCCTTCATAAATCATTCGGTTATGTCTGTATTAGCATCCTCAACAGGTTCAGTGCCTGTCCTCTGACTCCAAGGGCCAGTGATGCTGCCTAGCTTGTGTCTGTGTGGCAGCACTCTCCTTCTCTTGTGAAACAAGTCTCCGTGCTCCCTACTGGGAATGGTTTCTGCCTTATGCCTGGGCATTGCCTGAAGAGCACCAGCTGCATGGACCAAAGCCATCTGAAGTAGCATGCTACCCGCATGAACAGTTGCTCATCAGTCACCACTTATGCCCTCTTTAGCTCATTATTTTTCTGTCATAGTTATTCCAAAAAAAAGGAAAGTGTTCTTCATATTTTCTAATTAGAATAAAGTTATGAAAATTATTTCTTTGAATACAGATATGGAAAGCAAAGTATGGAGTACTGAGGGGACGCAATTAACAAGTCCTTCCAAAAACATGCAACATCTCCATCTGCATTTTAGGAGGTTTTAGACCATGATTTTAGAAACAACTGAAAAAACCCCAAAGTAGACATGCCTGGAAGCCTAACTCTTACTTACTGGGGACTGCAAAATAAACTCTGGAGGCAATCTTATGTTCTTAAAGAGTCACTATCATGTTCTGAAAGAGTCACTGTCAAATTAAAACCAAGAGAAAACACACTAGCATTTCAAACCTATTTGTCTCCTGGTGTTGTGTGTCACACAAACTGCAAAACAGATGCTATTAGAAATATTTTCTTCTTTTGCCCGGTGTGTTGGCAATCTTCAGGGCTATTTTGGTGAATCTTCCACATAGCAACAGGAAGGAGAAAACATTTCTGAAAGTGTGATTGTAAAACCACAAAAGTACTGGCTTGGGATCTTGGTCACTTGTTCTTGAAGCTGCCCTTATTTCAAACCGACAAACATGCACTAAACTCTCTAGATTCCCCACCCCTACCAGTCACTGTTTCCTCAGCTACAGACAAGCTTAAAATTGTCTTTAATAACTGTCACTGCTGAATGGGCTGCGCTACTGTGGAAATAAAGAGGTCATTCCCTTTTCTTTATCCAGAATCCTTAAACCTATTTCCTCATGTCTTTTTCCTGTAAGACAAACAGAACAAAGGAAACTTCTGCCCTTCTAACTTCTGGAAGCAGTGCCTGCTCCCAAGTTTGCTTAAGTGTATTGATGTTTGGTGGGGCAGACCATCCTCTCAGATGGCCCAGCTGATCTATTCTCTCTGGCAAGAGTCTCCTCCAGCAAGCCAGTAACGTACCCCAAAGCCTGCCTTTCCCTGAGGAACACAGGCTGCCTTTCTCCACCCTCACAGCTCTTGGCTCACATGCTGCTTTCAGGGGGAGGAAATGAATACAGCAGCCCCTGTCAGGGCAAGGACTACAGTGGGCAGCCCTGGCAGCACACCCCTGTCAGTTCATTGCTGCTCCTAGGGCACCAGGATACTGTTCACCACCAGCAGCACCCTCACAGGCGTCACAGGCAAGTTGAAATGGAGAAACAGCTGTACTGAACAGATCTAAAGGGGAAGAGAGTGGTATTTTTCTTTCGGTAAACAGAGTATTTCAAAACAAATTAGTGGGGTGGGCTTTTTCCTGTACGATTCTGGCACCATTTGGTGAGCAGAGTAACCAGTGAGCACTTGGTGAGAGTCTGGTCAATATTTTGAGTTCTTCCTTTTTCTGCCTGTTCTTGTGTGTCCATATATGCAAGATGCTGCCCCAACTCTGCTCTGCGCAGAAAATTACTTGCTGATGCTGCTCAGGGGTTCAGATGGCAAAGTTACTCCCCAGCACTAATGCAGATATTGTTATAAGCCATTTTAAGGTGTGTTATAAGCCATTTTAAGGTGAGGGGCAAGTTTCCATGCCATCATTACTATTCGAGCGATGAGGGACTCATATAGGAAAGTTTCCTCCCATGGCAAAGACCGTTGAAGACAATCCAGTGGCACCATCTTCAGCTGCCCAGTCCCACTCTGGTGGCACAGCTCACTGCCTCCATAGCAGCGCAGATGCAATCACTTATGAGATTGGCCTGTATATCATCTGCACTGCAGGCCCACAAACAGTTTCATTAGTGCCTTTGGGGAGCCAGTAGCTGCCACACAGAGGCAGGGAGCAGCATATGAGCAGATGTGACATGAGGAAACAGCGTCTAGCTTTGATATCATAGAAAACGTTCATCTAAATAAACCTTAAGTCTGGTAAGGAATATGAACAAGAGACAGGGTACTTTGTATTCTAAGTCCCAGGCACCTCTAACTTTCATTTCACTTACTTTTACAAGTATTTAGCATTTTGCTGCACTCACTTTATTGGGACTGGAAATCTGGTGATCTCAGCTGTAGCTGTGACAGTGCAGATTGGATATATGAGCAATGGAGCACACACCTGCAGTGGCAAGCCTGCTGAAGTTTAAATTGTTGCCCAGCATTCTGTAGTAGCTCTGTTGTGAAGACAGAGTCTGCTAAGTGGTGTTTAACTACCTTGCTCCCAATGCCTCCCTCATGTTCCTTGCTGTATGTGTTCCAGTTTCTGCAAAACTGAAGCAGGAGCCAGCTGGGTAACATCCCCCTTCAAGTGCCCAGCTACAGTTCATCCCTAGAGCATCATCTACCTCATGCACTTTGGAAGACAGGCATCATGGGAGAAAAAAAACCCACACGATCATGCCATTTAAACCTACAGTGTGATGAATCTGATGAGAAACTTGACATCAGTGGGCAGCATGTTCTTGCAGCCCAGAAAGCCAACCGTATCCTGGGCTGCATCAAAAGGAGCGTGACCAGCAGGTCAAAGGAGGTGATCCTGCCCCTTTATTCTGCTCTCATGAGACTTCACTTGGAGTATTGTGTGCCGTTCTGGTGTCCTCAACATAAAAAGGACATGGAACTGTTGGAACAAGCCCAGAGGAGGGCCACGAGGGTGATCAGGGGACTGGAGCACCTCCCGTATGAAGACAGGCTGAGAAAGTTGGGGCTGTTCAGCCTGGAGAAGAGAAGGCTGCGTGGAGACCCCATAGCAGCCTTTCAGTATCTGAAGGGGGCATATAAGGATGCTGGGGAGGGCCTCTTCATTAGGGACTGTAGTAACAGGACAAGAGTAATGAGTTAAAACTTAAGCAGGGGAAGTTTAGATTGGATATAAGGAGGAAATTCTTTACTGTAAGGGTCGTGAGGCACTGGAATGATTTCCCAAGGAAACTGTGAATGCTCCATCCCTGGCAGTGTTCAAGGCTGGGCTGGACAGAGCCTTGGGTGATACGGTTTAGTGCAAGGTGTCACTGCCCATGGCAGGGGGGCTGGAACTCAATGATCTTAAGGTCCTTTCCAACCCTAACTATTCTATGATTCTATGAATATATGCAGGAAGAGGTTAATTCAAGCATCATAATTTTGCAGGTTGTATTAAAAGTGAAGAGAGGACACTCGTCCCATCATGTGAATTCATGTATGTTACTGCATGATCATTAGCAGCCTTGGTGAACACTGTAACTCCACAACATGTCCTGCCATTTGAGCTGGAGGATTAACCTCTGTCACTGGCAAACTGCCATCTTGTGTACAGATGAGTGGTGCAGGGACTTGATGGTTTCCTGCTGTTATTTGTTGACAGTACAGGAACAGCAAATCGGGGGTGCAGCTCCGAATTCCAGCTCAGCTGGTCTATCAGCAGAGGACATTCCATTCGCACCAACTCTGCCATAGTGACCAGCGCGTCCACCATTCTGCTTCCTTGCCCTGTTTTTTTGGGCAGTATGAGCAGAGGGCAGCACAGGGAAGGAAAGAGGCGATGGATCGAGGTGGAAGTGGAAGGCTGTGCATCTGCGGCAACCGGCACCCTGAGGTGCAACGGATCCTCCTCCACATTTGCGAGGGGAATGGCAGCTGATGAAGGAGGATGTAGGAGCCTTGCTTCTTTTGCCCTTCCCAGCAAACCTCACATTCCTCAGCTTCAGCCCAATGTCTTTCTTTCTCTTTGCCTTTGCTTGGTTTACCCTCTGGCTTTTTTTATCTGCCTCCCCATCCACACCAGATCCCGCCCGACCCCTCCACCCACGTCAGCTCCCGCCCCGCCAGCCTCCCCTCAGCGCCTTTTCTCCCCCCTCAAGTACAATCCCTCTTTCAGCCAGGAAAAACGCCTCACCAGCTCGGCCCGCTGCCTTTTTCCTAGGCTGTTAAAGATAAATAAATACAACAAGTGGTGCTCTGACTAAATTTGGACAAATTTCCGTCCACATACACACACAACCAGCGCAGGGCGGCGCGAAGGAGACCCCATGACGGTGCAGTTTGGGCTGCCTTCTCTTCGGCCCTCAGCGGGACGGGAGGAAGGGGGCGGTGGGCGCAGCGGCGGCTTTGGGCCGCTTTCGGCCGCTTTCGGCCCCAGCCGCCGACCCCGCCGCCCCCACCGCCCCCCGATTCCGCTGAGGAGAATGGCGTTCCTAAGGCGGCAATGGCTGCCCTCCTCCCCGCTGCTGGGCGGAGAAGTGGAGGGGGAACGCTGCCGGTCCGGCCTTTTCATCCCACCCGGGGACCTTTCGGAGGAGCCAGGAGGGAAAACGTGAGGAAAACGAAGGGCTGACAAGGGCAA